GTGGGACCACATTTGGTTTTAGACATAAGGGATGAACTTGTATTTGAGTACAATGAGTACATTCTCTACATTCTCTATTCTTCTTGCATGTTTGAGTTTTACCAAAGCACAGATGCAGTTGTGTCTCCTGGCTATACTGTGCATAAAGTTGATGGTTAGATATTTAATTTAGCCAATAGAAGGCAAAACTGTCTGCCCTCAGTGTGTAGTTAAAAGAGGAATTGATACCTGAAAGCATGTGTAACTTCCCACATTTATGTGTTACTTCTCTGTAAGTAGGTGACCTTGATGCAGTGGTTCTAGGGACCATTTTGGTTGACATGCTTATGTCCTCAAATGAACTGTGGGGCTCTAAAGTAAAGAAGAAAAGGCACAAATATCTTATGCTTTCTGATTTAGCACTTTTAACAGATTTGTACTTCCTCTATATACTGCTATCAAAGCTACAGTATATTGAAAGGCCTTTCCTTTGATGTTTTCAATGAGGCCTGAAATTGAACTGTAAAAAGTCCAAAAGAGTCCTTTTTCTAAACAGTAACTAATGATAAAAGCTAATAATGTGTGCCGGTGTGTCAGCAGGCTTCCTTTATTTCTAAAAATACGTATTCTCTGAGTGTTACTTCTGATATGAAGGAGTCCTGACAAATGAATCTCTCAACAGGGAGACACAGTAAAATCGGGTTTATTTGACTGTGCTTGGGAGTGACTTTTATATATATATATTATTTTATAATTGTGCAAATTTATTAGCTGTTAACCATTTGATTATGTTTTAAGAAGGCAGCTTGTTTCCATGGCCCTGGAATATTCTTGAATAATCTGCTGAGCCTTGTCACCTTGACACACTTAGCTCGGAGTCACAGCTGCTTGGAGGGAGCTACTAATTGAATTGTTTGTGAGAAGAAATCTGATTTGCCGGGGTAATGAGCAGCTGTTTTCTTTGGTTATTTAGAAAACGCCCACAGTGAAAGTCAAATACTAACAGCCTCATAGCTAAAACTATTAACGATTATCTGAAATATTTTGATATGCTGCATGGCTGTGTTTTTCACGAGCTGATATGCTGCCTAATTATTCATGGATATTACAGTTGTCAACTGGTACAAGTCATTTTGTGACAGCACACAGCTTTGGGATTTGCACTGCTTTTGATGCAGCCTCCCACCCCCGTGCCTGCAAAGCCCCTGTTTTTGTAATTTGTTCTTTTCTGTAGCTGCCCCCCACATGCCCTCTCAGGAACTACCTATTCTGCCTATTCAGCTCGGCCTTTGTGGGGAGGTCTATTCATACCTCAATGTCCATGTGGAAATGAGAAGCCTGCCTGAAGCCCAGTCCTGCTTTGCTCTCTGATAGCTTAGAATCTGTGTCCAATCACTAATAAAAAACTAACCAGTCTCTAATGTTGTGTTCAAGTGCAATAGGCATAGGTTTACTGCAATTAGAGAATTTATGGTCACCACATGACTTTTTCTGTCACCACTTTCTGTTTAATTAAATGCACCAAGAGTGCCTCTTCAAAAATAAGCCATTAGTAATATCAATTTTAGAGGAGTAATTGGTATAATACATAGTGAACAAAAAGGTGCATGTATTTTTTATTATGAGCATTGAAAATCAATTGAAGAAGGTAAGCCCCTAGTCTTATAGTATCCTATCAAGTCAGTTAGTACTGGCCCCGTCTCACACCTTCTCTCTAGTGGTTGTTCTCTCCAATAGAAAATAAAGCAAAACATAACTCCCTGCTGGCTGGATGCAACATAAGCTACTTCATCTAAAAACTGGCTGGATGCAACATAAGCTACTTCATTTAAAAACGTAATACAAACTACAAAATCACTTGTCCATATCATAACTTTACTTTTACCCGGTGGCTTTTACTCATCATTTACTCCATTAATGACGTATGTTTTTTTTACATAATAAAAATATCTCATTTGACCTTTAGTGTCTTTTGGAAACATTCAGCTGTCTGTGGTTAAGTATACAAGAAGGAGACTAAAGGATCAAAGCCCTGTGGTAAAAAAAAAGCTTTGCATCGTTGACCCCCAGACTTTAAACTCTTCATTACTGCAGCCCACTGCCAATTATCGTGGAAAGGATTGACCAGAGTGGAGCAAACCTCCCCATTCTACTCCCTTCAGCCTTGTCAGCCCATAGAACCACTCCTAGTTTCCTACCCTTAATACATCCAAGGTCAAGAGGCAAGAAACCTCCTGCTGCCCTTCAACCAAACCCGCCCCATAAACTAACAACTCCCTGTGGAAGATCAAAACCATAATGTTTTAGAGTTTTATTCTTACCTAATCTTGACTAAAACGGCCGCATATCTCATGCCTGAAAGCCTTGTTAATGACAGTTCAAGGTACGGTTATTTTCCTCCAGCAGAGATTTAACATGGCACAAACTGTAGAGCATCAGTTATCTTTTTGTTTCAGGAGTTGATAGTCCTATGACCAGCAGTCCTTAAAGGTGACATTCTTAATAAACAGGAAAAAAACATTTTGTTCCTCAGCTTGCCCTTTCTCATTTCCCCCCCCCCCCCCCCCCGCCACTATGTTAATATACCACCTCATGCCTTTTACACCCTCTCCTCCTATGTCAAAGGGATCATGTTGGGAATGTGTAGGAGCTCCTCAAATGACTTCCTGCCCTTTAGGCGTAGGAAGTCATTTGATGTAAATGGATATTCTATTGAAATGTCACCACTACAATTCAAACCAATGATATTAAACTAAGCAGATTTAACATTGGTTTCTGTTTTATACAGTATGTGCAGTGCATTGATTGGTACATACATTGATTGATTTTCATGTGATTGATGTGTTTTGGGGCCATGCACATAGTTCAGTATCAAGTTCCTTCAGCTAATGTGGCAAACACCTGTCCAGTGTTGTGTACATGAACTGTAAGAAAACAGGACAGGGATTATTATTTGGAGCATTTGGTCTGAAGTGACTGTAACACCTTCTGCTGATTTCTGTTCTTCTGTTTAGTTTGGCAACCTCCTCAGTTGGTTTGTGTAAACCTGAGCACAGGAAATATTAGATGCAAAGGAAAGAAAATGACCTGTCAAACCAAAACAATGAACAGGTGGCAGCCGACAAATGTCAAACACGGCTGTTGGGATACTAACGCTCTAGACACACTTTCATATCCCATTTCCTTTGGTGTCAAATTAATGTTTTGCTAAACAGTAGAATACAATTCTAAGTAAAAAATACATTCCTGTGTTCTAATATGTATAGTGATCCTTTAAGTGTTTTATAACACAAGGATTTTCCTGTAACACATAGTTCCAGTCCATCCATCCAGCTCGATGCGAGTAACGGGTACTATACTGTTGACAAAAACAAAACTGGATGATGCTGGGAAGTTATTGGATGAAGTTTATTCTTTGGCCCTGATTCCTACCTCCAATCCACATAACACCATGTTTTAATCCCAATGTTTTGCCCAAACTGAATGTGTTCAGACATTCTTTTCCTAAATCTTGCAGGCAGCCTATGAGCAGAGTGGTATCAGCTTGTGCGCTGGATAGCATAGAAAAATGGTGCCATTGGTCTGCCCCAAGACCGCACATAGTGCTTTGCTGCCAACAGTGCCTCCAGTAATTATAGACCAGTGCTGTGGAACAGTTGCTCTCCAGGCTAAACTGAAACTAAACCCCCCATTTCATACTTGGTATTTGGTCTTTTCCGTACTTCACTACCCCATGTTTAAAATTGTTATTTTTGGGAAGAAGCTCGAGACTCTTCTGTTTTTAGTGCAGCCTGGCTGAGATGGAATATAGAATAACTGTCTGCTGTGCATAACCAGAAATCAGTTTTGGAGACTGTGTTTGACACTGCAGCTTCCTTTTGCTTACATCTTAAATAACGCCTGCAGTTGCTGCATTTATATCGTAAATTAGTTCAATGTCCTGGTACTTATTCCTCATAAGTTTTAAAACTCCACATGCAGTTCATTCACAGTTTCACTAATGCTGCCTAAACACTCGTGTTTATTTGAACAATTCACTAAACATCAGTACACTGTGACAGCAGTGTCATTTTTCTTAGAAGAAACACTGATCTTCTGCTGCCCCAGGGCCTTCTCTATAAACCCATTAACAGGGATGCTGACTTTGAGCTGGCTAGAAGATTGTTTCCAAAATGGAGTCTTGAGAGTAGTTGTAGTTCATTTATCCAGATGCCACTTTAAGTGTACCATAGCGACAGTTAAATGAAGAACAAAACACCTGGCTTTAAGGATTTACTTTAAGGTCTACTTAAAATCCCAAATTATGTAAAATAAAGTTTTATAGTCTGTGGTTGAAGTTTGTTCCATAGTGTCACTTTTGCTTTAGATCTTAATATCAGTAGTGTTTGTGTCCTTAGATGATAATCTGTTCGACACACTTTCTTCTTAAACAGACTTGGGACATGTGGACTAGGCTAGCTAACAGGGAACCTGTGTTTTATAAGGTTCTAAACCAAAGCAGTGAGCAGAAAGGAACGGTACATTTCTGTCCCCAGTGTTCCCTTACTCAGACTTGCCCGGGATTGCATTATCCCTCAAGCGTAAAAAGCCTAAGGTCATGTTTTGTTTTTCCCATTTGATTCGTCTAGTGCTTGATTCCATTGATTGTTTTACTTCTCGTGTCATATAAATACCAACTTACCCAGTTTACTTTTGGTCAGTTGTATTGGAGCTGCAGCAGCCCAGAGGGTGAAAAGCTCCATATTGTGATGAAAAATCCAACCTCTTGTCCTCCTAGTTCAGCTCTGCTTTAATCAGAGATCAAAGGGCACATTTTCCTCTTTTACCAGTTCAAATGATGATTAAAGGATCAAACTCCTCAAATTCAACTGATTCAGACCAAAATAGTAATTTAATCCAGTGGTTTTCTTCCTGTCATTTTACAGATGAGATCTCACCCACATCACACTACTGAACTTGAACTTTGACTTATTGACTTATCATGTTTATTTGTATCCATTTGCTTCTTCTTTTTCCAACAGTCACAATGAGCGGAAGGTGACCTGCAAGCATCCTGTCTCTGGTTTACCCTCACAAGACAACTGCATCTTTGTTGTAAACGAACAGTAAGTGGCTTGTTTTTACACCTATAGAATGCAACTTGGTAGCATTTTTTTCAACAGTGCAGTGTGCTGTAGAAACCTCTAATGAGTAGGCAACATTGTACGTGTATACGTGTCATTTAGAATTAGGTATTTCCTGTAATCTGTCTTTCAGAGAAGAGAAATGTCAGTTTGGGGTAATTACAATATTCAAAAAGCCTTGGTGATACACAATTGTGCTACTGTTTTCCACTAAAGGCTGAGGCAGTGGTGACAATCATCTTGCGAAAGACTGAAAATAAAACAGCTGTTGTATTATGTAGACATGGACTCGTTGGAATTCCATGATTCACACTTCCCTAGTTGAGATCTGGTCAAGAGTTCGTGGCCTTACTGGTCATCAATACAAAGACAGTGTCCATCAGAGCTGTAACCACGTGATCTCTTACACTGCTTTTAGTCATCAGCATCAGCATCAGCCAGCCAGCCACATGACAGGTTTCATTTCAGTCATCCTAACTTTCACTTCCTGAAAAACAATAATTCCACAGCTCTAGTTTTGACCATTTTAAGAAGTAAACATATGAGAGTCTGCATGTGAAACTGTGTGACCTAACTGGGATCAGAGTGCAGGTCCTCCATTTGGAGGCTAAGAGGGGATGTTTTGTGTATTCATTCACATTATAGTTCAAATGTGACCACCATCTGTCTGTCCACATGGCTGGACCTGTCGCACACTATGATTCTGTTTTCGTCCCCCAAAGCACATACCTCCTGTGTGCTTGTTGCATCCAATACTAACACTTTATTTGCTGTGTACCCCTGCTCAGCTTTGAAAAGAAATCAATTATGGGCCACATATGGTTAAAGAATTGGATTTGGGACATTGACCCCTGCAGTGAGAATGTAGCCTTAGTCAGTGTTAGTTTGTTTCAACGAACATTAGGATGTCAGTTTTGTATTCTGTAAAATATAGCCTTGTTGATGTCCTTACTCAAGAACTTTGGTTTTATTTACATACACTGAAGAATCTTTATTTCTGTCTCTGTTTTAAAACCAGGCCAAATATGCATGTTCTCCTGCCCACACAATTTTTCTGTCCTCCCGAACCATCCCTAATGTTTTGCAACATTCAGTTCAGAAATCCCTGTCAAAACAGATTCCTTGTGATGCTATATTGTGGCACCAAAGTCATGTCATCACAAGTGGTGTCAATTACTCTGTTGAGCAACTAAATGCTAGCAGAAATTTGTTTGCTTCAACACATGACATTTTACTCCCATGTGGGAAACCGAAGACTGAAGTGCGACAAATGATCTAAGATAAATTCCCCAGAAACTAGTCATTGGTAACAGTTTTCTACATTCATTTGGGAACTGGGCTGAGAAATTAGGAAATGGAAAAGAGCATTTTCAGATGCTCTTCTCTCTGTTTGAAGAGAATATTGGGACCTGCATCAGTGGAAAAATAGCTTGTTTTACCACAGCTGCCATCCTGCACTCTGTTGACACATTCCTCCTCTCACTGTGTTACTCTCACATCTCTCTGCTGTTTTTTACTCTGAGAGCGACGTGCAAGTGGAGATGGATTTTTAACCTTGGAAACTTGTATGTTGTCAGTGCAAAATGATACTAAAAGAATCTCCATCACGTTTTCAGGAGGTCAGCTTTGTCCAGGAAAAGCAAACTGTTGAACCCTATGAAACAATTGGCAGTGTTTCATCAGAGATGCAGTAGAAAAGCCTCAATATTCAACCAGTAGTAAAAAGGCGAAAACGGATTTATGCTGCTTGAGGGATTAAGAAGCAAAGCTTAAAGTTGCTCCCTAATCTTCCCTGTACTTAAAGGTAAATCCAAATCACAAATCTCTACTTTCTTGTGGGGAATGATATTTGAAGACAATCTGTTAAATTCATCTATAAAAAATGAGCCCAAAATTTAAAAAGTAATTGATATCAAATAAACTTTACATTATAAATTGAAAGTACTCTTTTGTACTGTGAGACTGGAGTTAAGTTTCCAAGTCTTCCTTGATGTGTGAGATCATTAATTTGAGGCATGAGGAAGAGCTAACAAGGGTGTGGCAGAGGTGTTAGGATGGGATTTATTTAGACGGATGTGCCATCACATGCTGCAATTTTCACCCCCACATCAGTCACGTCTGTGCCAATGAGTCATGGTTGCCCTTATCCTGGATCCTTAGAAGGATGTTGTAATTTCCAGTGTCCAATTATAATGGACGTCTTTGGGACAATGATCACCATTACTGACTTAGAGCTTTGTTATTTTAGATTTAATCTGTTTTTTTTATCTAGGGGACAAAAAACAACATCTGAATTCAAAGCACCACATTTATAAGCAAACTTAAATTGAGTAGGTAAAGGCTCCAAGAAAAGAAGGCCTTCACTGCAAAAATGAACAAAAATTTGAGATTTTGTGGATTCTAGTGGAGGAAGTTTGCCAGATTAGTCAATTCAACAACCACTAACGTGGTTTTCTCACAAGATACAACTTTTCCATACACAAGAAAGCAAAATTCAGTCAAACTGATGGCTGCAAAGACTCGTCGACAACCACTGCTAAGTGTATAGTATTATCTTTTATCTAAGAAATAATCCCTCCTAGCAAAGAAATTCTTTCACACTGATTTTTTTGCTTTACAAAAAAAATGAACAGAACATTTAAAAAGGAAAAAAAAAATCCAAGAAGATTTTGTATGGTTTGTCATTTTTACAGTGAATACTTTTTTTTAATTCATCTTCGAATCTTTTTGACTTTTACTGGTGTACATTTTACAGCTTCTTCAACCCGCACTGACTCTAGTCTAGTTCTATTATTTATTTTACCTTCAACTCGATGAATTCACTACACAGTAGGGGTGCAAAGAACAGACTAGATTCTTCATGACGACTCATTTGTTTTGCTGCCCTTTCCATTTTTGCCCGTTGTTCATAGGTTAAATCAAAGTTACATTCTTTAAAACTTTATCTGGCATCTGTCACGTACACTCACCATCTCAGCTATGCTGCGAGGAGCTCTTTGCCGCTTGAGTCATGACAGTCTCTCACCTCACCTAAGTGAATGTCAGCTTTCGTCACTGTACATGTCTGAGCATATTTTTAGTGACCCACATGATATTTGCAGGCTGGCAGGAAATATTTGTAGCCCTTGCATGTAAACATGTTTTCCAGAGGCGACTTGCAAGCACGCTGCAAAAAGAGGCGTTAAATATCTTAGACTAGGTGTTTGAATGCTTATGTGCATGTATCTGATGGACTTCACTCTGGGTCAAACTTTTCTTCTCATGTCTCTTTGCTCTGTTTTTTAGTGTGAATTGTGGGAAATTGAGCTACCCAGCATTAAGCAGGTAATCCATTATGAGGTGAAAATGAATAACTGTGTGCTTCTCACCTTTATTCATATGTTTTTGTTTTCAATAACTGAATGGTTTGTCTGTAACCACGGCCGTCACCGCACTCTAACAGCAGACTGTGGGTGGATTGAAAGGTATTTTGCCTGTTGATCTGTTGTGTAACTGCAAGTCCGGAAGATGAACTTGTCTAGATGTTGAGTTTTTGGTGAATATGTGTCCAATGGTTGTTCCAACATACCGCAGGAACATGATTATTAAACATTCCTGTGATAAAAATCCAGCTAACATCCACCGAGACAGCTGTGTATATTATTATTGTTGTGTCAATGTTCACAGTTGACATTGTTCCTCAGGTAGATGGTCGCCAGACCTGAACTAATGTTTGTTGTGAGGGAGCTGTAGTAGCTTTGAAGTCTGTAGAAACTGTGCAACAGCAGCAGCACAGCATGGGCCTCACAGTGAACACACCCAACAGTACAGACCTGTTAGTGAAATTTCATCAATGTCAGCCTACATTCACTAATGTGGGACTGTGATGTTCAACTTTTACAATTTGAGTGATCATTAATCAGGCCAAATGAACCATCTACTTCAACAACTGGATTCCAATAGAAACATCTAATAACAATTTTAGACAAGATTTTATTTTTTTTAAATTTTATTTTATTTAAGTGTCCCGCCTCCAGAAGTTTCTCCCTCCAACACATTTAATTGGTGACCCCTGTTGTAAAATTTGTATTTCTATATTTTTGACACATTATTTTGTCACTAAGGGCAAAAGCATGATCATAGATACAGATAACAGATAATTATACACTAGATGTAATGTATAAATGTAATGAATTATCCTTATTGGTGCAGTCTTTCCTAAATGACTTATTTCTCAGCCTCACTGTCACTGTACCGTCTGTGTACTGATACTGTGATCTTTGTTTGCCTTTTTCTTCTCCATGAGCTCCGTTGTTCAATAGGAAGTCACTGTAATGGTTGGGTTGCAGGGCAAACAAAAGTGTTTTAAAGCACTAATTTCTTTAAAAATGCTGCGTGCTCATTTTTAAAGTGCACTCTCAGCCGCTCTGTGCAGTGTTTGCTTAGAAAGGCCAACACACAGAGGACCAGTCTCCTCCCTCCAACACTAACACTGTCCTCACACTAACAGCTCACAGTGATGGGCAGCTTATTCCCGTTGAATAGACATCCTGATGTGTTGAATTGGAAGAGCTTTGACTGCTGTCCTACTAAAGGCCGAATTAGATCAATACTTTCAGCCAGGACCATCTGTCGGAGCTGTATTTCAGCTGACACCAGATGCTAACAGTAATACTAACTACTATTTACTCTTTTGGACTTTATGAGTACATCTAACAGCAGTGGTTGTGTACGGCTGTTGTTGTTGATGAGCACCTCCTAAACAAAAAAACAATTCATTTGAAGCAGACACAAAATGGAATGCAGTAGATGTGAACAATAACATGTGACACCGTGACACGTTTAGCTGAAAACCCTGAGGATACAGTTACATGTGGACACTACTTCTACTACAAATAATTTACAGTGAAGTCCCGTCCAGGAAATGCTTCACAAACCTTTATCCTTTCAAGATATTGTCAACAAGTTCTTGTTTTAAAGGAATTAATTGTGATTTATTTGCATTTATTAAGCCACTAGTTTTCCCTTACGATTCAGTCCTAAATGCCACCTTAAGAGTAGAGCTTGTATTTTTAAGTAACATCTCATTTGGGATGCATTAAGATTTCATCAGCTGCCTGTCGCTCCCTTTTGTTTTTGATTTTATCTACCAATGTAATGTAACTACCATTACATTCATATTTTAGCAATGAGCATGGTCCAAATAAACACCCTCGATACTCGATGACACACTTAACTGTGATTCATTTTCACTGCATGAGGATCGATGAGCCGTCCCAGACTAATTATCAACAAAGTGCGGACACCCACACATGTAGTGCAGCCAGTCTGGAAATGGTCCATTGGCAGAACAGAACATCAAACGGAGCAGTATCACTGTGAGACCGAAAGCAAGTCCATTTTCCCTGCCTCTTGCAACCTTTTGTTTTGACAGCAAGTCGACATGTCATTGATTGTGGTTAACCCAGGACTTAGCTCGTCACTACGAGTGCTAAAAAAATCCCTGCTGTTCATTTTGTGGAATAAGCTCATTAGATGTAGAAGGAAAAGACAAATCTCACCGACTACTCACCACCCTGCAACGCTTTATGCTATTTTAAAGTGATTAGATAAAAACTTTGCTCACCTCCCCTCAGGAGCGCATCACTCACACACTAGTCCAACCTGCGAACCTTCATAGTTGGAGTTCGCAGAGACAGATTGCTCTACATCAGTGTTCCCCAACCTTTTTAGAGTTACTGCACACAAGTATATGTAATGAAATATAACCATCTAGTTTCAGTTGACTTATTCAGTATGAAATCTAGTTTTGTTTAGTTGAACACGACAATGACTTAAACCTTCCATGGTCCGTTTGTCCCGTGGTTTGGGATTGCTGCAATACATAGCATCACCATTTTAATCTTGATATTTTAAATAACCAATAGAGAAATTCCCCGATTTGTATAAAAAATGTTTTTTTAAAGTACATTAAGCATTAGTGGATATAAGGGTTACAATTGTCAAGGCTTGTGAGATTCGTCCAAATAAGGAGGAAAATTCATCGATTGAGAAAAGTCTGATTATATTACTGAATATTTTACAGCAAGCTAGAACCCCATGGAATGAGAGAGAATGTGGTGATGGGCCTGTGGTTTCTTTTCCCATCCAGAGACTTTTAACTAGCATTTAAAAAAAGACACGTTTAATTAGTAAGTCTGTTTAACTGTGGTTTTCTTCCTTGCCTTCCTTTGACCATGTCATTTTGTTCTTTCTAATGAATGTAGCACAGGCCAAGAGCAACTCACTGTTATCCTGTTTTTTTTCTTAATGTACTTAATATAAAGAAGAACTTTGAACAGCCACTGACAAAGTAGTTCAGGGATTTGGCTGCTGTAGTCCAGTGTGTTGGGGAGACTCATTAAAAGCCTTGTGCTGGGGTGGGCCTCACAGTGATGGGCTGGGGTTATTTGCTAAATTTATAGGCCTAGTATGTGAACTTGTAACAGATTGTACTTTAGAAAAACGGCAGGATAAGCGAGGTTAAAAGTTTTTTTTTTATTCTATTTTTATATTTATGCAGGTTCATTGCCTCATGATCCTCATTTGTGCTCCCTTTTTTAAAGATCTGCCATCAAAGCCCCGACGAATGAGAAGAAGGACAAAGCACGAAGCATCATGAGTGAGGTCTCTAACGATACGATGGTCTCGGACCCCGCCGCAAACTCCAGCAGCCCTGCAGGCAGAGTGAGTGGTTGTCACGGGATTAACCAGCATGTCTGTAGGAAGTAGAATTCGAATGATGTACAAACATAGTGTGTGTTTCAAAGCTGAGAAAAGTCTGTAAAATTTTCCTCTAAATTGCAGCCCTCAAGGCCTTCCAAAAAGATTCACAACTTTGGAAAAAGATCCAATTCCATCAGGAGAAATCCCAATGCTCCCGTGGTGAAGAGAAACTGGCTTTATAAACAGGTGGGCATGAAAAAACATTAGGATTAAAGTAACATCACATATTACAAATATAACTCTCAGTGAATACTCAACAGTAGTGGCATAAAGGGCTTTTATGTATCTCTGCAAATTAGTTGTGACATTTTTTTGGTGAGTTTAGTCGTACAGTAAATTTAAAACTAAAGTGTTAGAGCAAAAATACATCTTTGTGGTTTGGATCTACTTCCCTCATGTGTTCAGACTACATGTACATTTGTATATTTATTCCTTCTGTCTTTTTTTCATCCAAATGAATGAACACTATGGGTGGTTTTTACATGTAGTAACTTGGAAGGAAGTGTTTTTCTTGTTTTCATAATCCAGATATCCAGTATTCAAATATCAGTCATCACAGCTTCCTGGTTACTCTGCTTTACTGCAGGATTGAAAGAGGCTACTCAAGGCAGCTCTTGGTCAGACGGGACCCTTATGTTTACTAAGTGGGAGAGGCATTTAGTTTTGATTGCAGCCTCACGGCAGAGTTTTGTCACGACTCCTTTGGTACAGCTCCCAGCTGCACTTTCTTTGGGCTCCTTAACCAGGCGGGGTGACAGGGATCAAGCTAAAGACTCACAAATCTGCTCCTGAAGCAAATAAAAGCTGGATTCACACTCTTATGTTCCTCACTGAAACGGTTTGAAACGTGGATACTGTTGGTGTGTTTGGTCAAAGAAAGGCAGTGTAAATTATTACAGGCACTGATGTGGTTGGTTAAAGTGGAAGAATACTAAGCTGAAGTTTTCACTCAATTCTGTTTGGATACATGTGGAAGGCTTGTTTACTTCACTTGATGGCAGCGATAGAAGAGGATTGATTCACGCAGTTTATTCTTCAGTGTTAATACGCAAATATTCATTATACGTACAACTTCCTGCCCCCGCTAATTTGAATTACACTATATCTTAATGGCTCTTTGTTAGCTGTGTACATTTCTTCCCTATTGTAAAAAACATTACCAAACCATTAGCTATGATAATAGATATGATAAAAATTTACAATAAATGTTTATCAACATATGCAAAATATATTTTGATAACTTGTTAACTTTGTTAATGTTTTTACTAAAATAATGTTTAGTGTTACTAAAAAGTACATTTAAAAAAAGGTTTTATTTTATTGATTATGAGTGGACTGCAGTGGTTCCAAAATGTTTTCTTCTGCCTCTCTCACCCCTTGACCCCCACCCGACGTCGATACATTCATAGCTATTACTTCAAAACTCCACTTAACATTCTAAAACACCATAAATCCTAAAAAAAGAAAAAGAAAATTATATTCTCATTGAAAAAAGTCAAATGAATAGGCAGTAATTTTCCCTCCTCTTCACCTCCCCGAGTAGCCCCAACCCTCATGTGGTGCACTTTGGGAACCGCTGATGTAGAATAAAGTAATATCTTTAACTCCACATTAATGGTCATTTTGCTGTGAGTTAATGCTTAACAGAAAGTGTTGCTGAATAAGGTTACACTGAACAACATCTGGGTCGAGAGAAGTGCTTTTTGTTTTCTTTTTTTGAGTAATGTGTTAAACATGCTGGTGCACAGAAATGAATTTCCATTTCAAGTACGCTGCAGACCACATGCCATCTGACCATAATGACAGAGCTGTTGCGGTGACTCCTCCTACTTTTGTCCAAGAGTGAACTCCATGATTAGGAACTGTGCTCAGATTTTCCATTAAAGCAAATGTGGGAGTTAATACCCTTTTCCTCACCCTTGGTCTTTTTCAAGCAGTGGCCTGGAAACCCCCTTGATCGCAGGAGGATGACGATAAAGGAGAGCTTAAGCACAGAAGTTTTATTTTGATTGGCCATTCAACGGTATTCTTTTCATAGCTGACCATGAGGTTTGAAGCAGAGGTCGAGGACTTCACTCATCACTGTGTTTAATTTAGTCCAGAAAGTTCTCTCCAGCCAAATTAATCAGTCTTTCCTACTCAAAAATGGTTAAAGGCTACACCGAAAATACAGGAAATAGACGGATAAACACACACGGCTGTATGTTAAATAAACAAACTGTGGGCTTTTCATGCAAACGTCCTGTGGTGACTGGAGTAACTGTGTGTCATTTCTCTGGTGTGTCATTTTAGGACAGTACGGGAATGAAGTTGTGGAAGAAGCGGTGGTTCGTGTTATCCGACCTGTGTCTCTTCTACTACAGAGGTGAGTTCTGTCCTCCCGTACCAGAAGTACGTTTCACTCCTGCGACACCACTAACGAGCAAATATACTGTCTAATCACCAGTTGGCTCGGCTGCTGTGACCCCCACACCCTTAGTAGCAGTGACTTTGGCACTGTGAGCTGCTGTGGTCAGCAGTCTGTCAGCACCAGCTGAAAAAGACAGACTAAATGAAATGGCTGTCCTGTCGTACGACTTGATCTATCGCAGATGATCTTTTCTCCAGCAAAGCCACAGCGTCAGATTAGGGTTAAAAATTTGACCTTTGCAACTGAGTGGTCAGAACATTGTACACTGAATCGTATTTCTTGAAATAAAGCCGCGGTTTATATTCTGACTTTAGAAACTGTGAGTGTGACAAAAACAGATCTGGTGTCTGTATAGAGCAGGCCGTATGAATCTCTGTCAAACATAGAAAAGTCGAGCCTTATATTTTCTATTAAAGGAGCACCTGCTTTCTGAAAGTGAGTTCCTCAGTTTATTTCCTGCCACTCTGCTACTGATGGTTACATAAGCATATATTTAAATAACCCCCCAACCTGAGTAGTCTAGATCAGGTCCTGCTTTGTGCATAAACTATTTTATCAATACTTTTTGGGTTTAATATGAGATTAATCTGCCTGTGATTCCACAGTTAAGGGACCACCAACACACAGTGTGGTGTCATCTGTCATTAGTGGGTTTTACATGGTTTTATCATTTGGTAAAGACATCAGTATTTTCCGCTGTGGAAAGCAACAGTGTGTGGTGACGTCACAGCAGAAAAACATTCTGTTCCACTTCTTATTTAAGGAGTCCGTTTGTGCAGGTTTTCAGTATTTTATCTGTTATTAAAGGGGTTTCTTCCACTAACCAAAGACCTGGTTTGAGGTTTTTGATTGGTCTGGGCAGTAAAATAATTACTTGTCTTTTGTTTCTTAAAAACCTAGCAACCTGTCTTGGGTGTAGCCTAACTTTCTTCTTAAATCATCACGGATTAGTTGCAGCTCCTCTTTGATCACTTAAGCGGTTAACCTAATGAATGGAGCCAAGTGAGTTAACGTTATGCTTCGACTGAAGTGTAAGTTTAATGGGTTATTTATGTGGCCACTGTCTTTAGACAGGATGTTGGATCACTGCTCCAGATTAAAGTCGTTTCCAAAACGAATCCATCTTCCTAAATCTTGTTCTGCATTACAGTTACATAGTAGAAGAAGAAGATCTGCTCATGGTAAATGTCATCTTTTTATATTAGTTGCTGTTGACTCGAGGATTTCAGGCCTTTTTAATGATCTCATCAAATATTGACACAGCTGTGTCCGGAGCAGAGCTCAGATGTATGTCCACTCGAACCAAGGCTTAGTGGTAACTGTAGCTTAGGTTCAGTTTACTTTTGCTGCATCTATAGAAGCAGTCGTGCGTGGTACAAGTTCACAAGTTGGCCCTGCTCCGTTTGATGTAGATACAGTGCACGTTTCTGCTGATCAGGTGGTCTCTCCGTCTGTGTTATTTCTGTCGTCTGACAGTCCATTTACCTTCCTTCCGCCCACTGACTGACAAAGGCCACAGAGAAAAGCCGAACCGCTGATGGACGTGTTAGCAAACAAAATCCATCGGCCAGGAGTGGGCAGGACGGTCACCAACTGCTTTGACCCCTCAGCAAACACAACAGCTTCCTGTCACTGTGATCACAGTCTGGAGGTGCACTCTGTCTGCTAACTTAATGAGGATTAGAGCGTTGCACCGCGAATCCCTCTGAATCAGTGCTTATCTTTTGTGCTGATTGGGCTGCAGATGCACTCTGACCCCCCACCCCACCACTACCACTTCCTCTCCACCACTTCATTTTTTTTTCCTGCTTTGGTCTAACTGGAGTATCGTGTAGGAGTATCATCAAATACTTCATTTAATTGCCCCTAATGAATTATGTCGACTTTTATTTCTGCAGATGAGAAGGAGGAGGGAATACTTGGCAGCATCCTCCTACCAAGCTTCCGTATATCCATGCTATCTGTGGATGACCACATTAATAGAAAATATGCCTTCAAGGTCAGTGCACGCGCTCAGTCCTGTCAATCTTTGCTGGGCCCTATCTGTTATTGTTGTGTTAATTTAAAGGTATGAAAAATCATAAAAAGTAATTGGAGATTACAGAAAAACAGATTATTGTCAAAATGGAATTATTAAAGTCTATGTCCAACATTTTTTTAATCACTATCGTCAGATACTATTTTTGTGTCAGTGCTTTGTCGAGGGTGTCCTTGTTTAGGGAGGCCTTTCTGTTACTTGGAAGCAAAGAAAGTTTTTGCCTCCAGTCAGGGCCGCTGTCTGTGGTGTAGGACAGGGCTTTTGGATGACTGGGAAAACCAAAATAATTGGGCAGTGGGCATATTTTATGGGATCTCGATGGTGTATACAGATTTTGACTACGGGTCCCTCATAAAGCCTGAGAGACAACCGAGTATGTCCTGCCAAGTGGAGCCAAACACAGACGCCCAGAAGTCTGCTCAAGGTCTCCGAAACCACACAGCCCACTGCTTTTCCAACTTTGACTCAGGCTGAAGCAGAGAGGGAGCATGAGGATGAGGATGGAGGGAGCATGACCTCCTCCGTTTACAGTGACGTACACAGACATGCATTGACTTCTTTTTGTCTGCATTCTTTCATTATCTCTATATAGGCCGACTGTTGTTTTTGTGTCCATATCATTAAAAGTAAAGTTGTTTCTCAAGGCACTCATTTGAAGCACTTGACAACACTGTGTTTTGTTCTTCATTTAAAAAACACGATATTGAGGTTGTTGACTAAACAATTTGTTTTCTCTCTTTCTCTCTCTGTCTCGCTCGAACAATAAATTGCTGTGTTCACTGCGAGAGATGAGCATCATGGGAACAATTTGTCTGCCATACAATGAACCTTATGGTGAGTCCTACGACACTGTTCTAGATTTACTGCTGTAATCCAGTGGTACACATGAAACTCAGGTGACTCATGGTTTGATTTATCTGAATGGTGCAGAAGACTACAACCAGGCGTACCACACAAATAATCTTTTCCACATTATTTGGCTAATAAATATAAGATCTGCTAAGGATTTATATTTAAGTCCAAGTGTCTCTGCACCTCCTCAATATTCTTTTTTTCTTTAAAAGCCATAGCGTTCCATCCACTTGTCAAATACTAAAGCCCAAACTGAAGGTTTTGTGTCTTCTCTCTTCCAGGTTTTCGTTTGTGTTTGTCTTCGTTTCCGTCCTGCACGGTGTTTTCTGTCACAACAGGCGACACATCCCAACATGAGGACCTACTATTTTTGCACAGACACCGCCAAAGAAATGGAGTCTTGGATGAAAGCGATGACAGACGCAGCACTTGTGCATTTGGAGCCGACCAAGAGGTTTGTGAGAAGGCCCCAAAAATAGTCATTTTTAAACAAAGCCTTGATGTTTTGAATTCGAAGGATTGCGGTGGTTTGTTTTGCCTCAGAGCAGCAGAAGACATTTTGAGAGGGCATCTGAGGATAACTCTTGGAACATACACTAATGACGTCCTTGGATCTTTTTTGTTCTCATTGATTTTCCTTTTTTATAGTGTTTTTTTGACTTGAAGTAAGTGTTTTCAAACCCACTGTCCAAGCCTTTCTCATTTGTGGCTTTGCTGAAGAAGCCGTGACTCCTTTCCATGCCGTGTAAATATTTTTCACTTTTTGGTTTATTTCGGGGTAATGGAAATGCCATGTGCATGCAGGCATGCTGTTGTGTGTGTTGTGCACAGCTGCACCAGCTAACTAGGCTCATCAGTTCAGGGTTCTTTCCTTCCTTCTTTGAAACCATGGTAAATGTCTGTCATTTGCCAGCCCTGTGCTCTAATGCCCCTCTTTGTACATGGACGAGCAGAGGCATAATGGTTAAGTGCTCTGTAATTACTCAGAGCAGTAATGCCTGAAATCCAATGCATTGTTAAATGTTATGCTCTTATAAGACTGTACAGCACAGTAAAACAGCATGGAAGTATCCAGTAACTGCCATCTTACTGTAAAGCATCTAAAGTACCTAATGTCTTAAAAATCAGTGGGGAACTTTACTTTTGTTTTAATGCCATCCAATCGTTTTGTGTTGGTACCTCGTGGCTAAAATAGAACAAGCAGCCTTAGGCCCAAGCTTTATCTTTAGATATTTTTCCTGTCGTTTTGTTTCCACAGTCCTCTTGTATGAATAAATGCATGACACATTTATAGCCTTACACGTGTTCTCTATTGAGGGTGTTGAGCCACAGACGGCTGGAGAAAACATTATGTGACTCGTGCTGCTTTTTAGAAAGATACAAGTGGAAACTGTAGGAATGCCCCTCTTAGCTTCAGCCCCAGCAACCAGAGCTACTGATAGGGATTTGTAGATCTGAAAATGAGTGACCTCGATGGCATCTGATGTCAGGTCCAAGTGGCGTCTGTGTTCTCCCAAGTCCTTTCTATTGACCACAGAATGGAATGGTTGTTGTAGGAGAAGATGGAGCTGCAAATGGAGTACAGGGAGCTAGGCAACATCTACAGGATGTGTCCCAGTGAAGGCAGTATTTTTACAGGCCATATCAGATTTCTTTTGACACATTTGGTCTTTTCTAGCAGTTGGATTAGGTAGTGTTCAACCATCCATTTGATTATTATTATTGTTATTATGAATTTGAAATTAAGACACACCAAATATAAGCTCCCCCCCGCTGATTGGCTGGACCTTTTTTTTTTTGACAATATGCATATTCACCCACAGCCTGGGAGATACAGTACTTCAATCTTCTGATGTGTTGGTATTCTTTGTGAAACTGTGTGTGATAACCCTAACCCTTCTTTTACTGTCTTATCATATACCTTTGTTGTTTTTCTCTATCTCTGTTCAGGATGGAACCTGTAAAAGTAGAGCAGTGTGGTCCACAAGAAATCAGCCACATTGAGAACCACACGCAGCCCCTCACGCAACCTGAAATCCTAAACAATGAACGCAACCGTGGGGCTAACTTGGAGAGAACTCCGACCACTGTGACAAAAGAAGAGAGGAGGCCACAAGATGCTGAACGCTACGGTTTCCCAACGGAGGGCAGGGACCGCGAGCGTCCACTCACTAAGATCAACAGCATCAAACTGCAGCCCGCGCAGGCTGCAGCTATCAAAACCAACATCGCCTCACCGCAAACACCCACCGAGGCGGATGGGTCGGCCCATCATAGCCTGCAGGTTAACGGATCAGGGGAACAGAGTCCGGCTGATGCGGCGCGTGTCCCTCTACAGCAGAGTACTCCCAATGAACCAGACCGGACACTGAGCAGGACCAGCTCCATGCAGCAGCTGGAGCAGTGGGTTCGGACACAAAGAGGACGCAACCAGGATGATGACACCAGGAGGTTAGTTGGCTTTTGTGATCATTTTGTAGCACAAAGGATGTATGGCCTTAAAAGATGTGAGCAATTTCAACACTGGACTGTTTTCAGGTCACTTCACAGCAGGGCTATATTTTTTACCTCAGCAAGGAGTGAAAGTGAAGTAGGTCCAGTTCTGGACTGCTGATGAAATTAGGTTTTATCCGATGTTCAGTCTAATTTAATTTAAATCTGTGTGGCACCAGATGTCACACACCAATCTCACATTATTCTTCTTTCACGTATTCACAAGTATACTTTACTATTACTTTACTGTAACAGTACTCACTATCACAGTAATGTATCTGATGATCCTCTCACCCTGCTTTGAGAGTCACATTTTTTTAGCTATCTCACCTCCTCCTCCTCCCATCAGCCTGGCCTCATAAGCACTTCCTATTTTCAGACCCATGGTGGGGAAACGACCAGTAGAAATTCTCTGAGCTTTTTCGAAAACAACTCAAGTTCGGAGCAGTGAGTGATTCACGCAGGAGCTGTCAGGAAGTCTTTTAATGGACAACTCTCACTGACAGCTGCACTTTTGAACCTACACTGTCAGGGAGCTTTGTTGTCACAGTAAGAATCGTATTTGTCTTTAGGCTTTTTATGTGATTGAAACCCGTAGAAATGCATCAAAGAAAAACCTCCATGCATAAAACACTAACCCTAAAAGCAGTTGTTTGATTCCCATTAGATTTTTTGTAAGACATTTTTTTTCTTTTTTTTTCTTTTTTTTGAATAAAAAGACACCAAAGAACTAATATGCTGTTATAATGGCCGAGACAACTAGAAGCTGATTCTAACACTGCCGTCTGGCATAAGCCTGACCGTCTGAAGTTGCCCCCGTACTCATTACTTTGGACCAAAGAAAACTGGACGTATCAGACCAAAACCACCTTCTTATTGTAGTCTGAAAATGCCCTTATTTTTTATTAAGGCATTTACCTCTTTTATATTGATATTATTTCCTATAAGTTTAACAAATACAAAGTTGAGATCAGTTAATATTTACTAAAATGTAATTTTTTTTGCGTTTCTGTTTGGACATTTGGATTATCTTATAAATATGTTTCTAAAATCCAAAGTCTTTCAAGGACATTGAAGGCATCATGGGTTACCCTACCTCAATACTCAGTACTGTTACTTGTAGCTGTAGCTTGTACATAAAAAGAAGTTTATTGTCTCTTTTGGTGTTAATTGCTGTTTATCAACCAGTATCTGTAAATGACTGTAGCAGTACTTACACGGGCAGACAAGAAGACAGAAAAGTAACATTTCCACAGAATGTTGGTGAATTATGAATACAAAAATCATTTATCAAATATCTTCCGCTCTTTGTTCTCAGCATCACATCGTATCAGACACTGCCCAGAAACATGCCGAGCCACCGGGTGTCTTATATGCCTCATTATGGAGATGGCTATCGCAGTATGCCCAGGAACAGCATGGCACAGCGGGACAGCATCTGCAGTATGTCTCCGTCGTTGTATGACCAGCTCTTGGGCTCCTCCGCGCCGGACAAGCGGCGCTCCATGCGCGATGACACCATGTGGCAGTTGTATGAATGGCAGCAGCGGCAGGCCTACACTCGGCAGCCAGGGCTGTACAACAATATGAGCAGCCCCAAAACAATGATCAACCTATCAGAACATGCGGCCCCGAATCGCTCCATCCCCCCGTCACCCTCCCATGGTTCCCTGTCCATGTACAACACATACTCTCCAATGAGGTCCTACAACATGAACGACGTTTCCTCTCCAAACTACAGAAGAGACCTGAGCCTCGACAGACGGCAGCGTCCTATGAACAAGGTCAGTTAAAACTGATGTGAACGATAACACTTATCTTTATTAATGTTTATTTGATCACGTAACATTATACAGGAGGTCTTTGGTTTACGGTGTCCTCCACCTAAGACGTTTTGTGGTTAAGACACTATCTCCCATAAATGTATCAAGTCTTTTTCTATCGTTCCCACATATGGTGGGTTAGGGTTAGGTTTAGGGGTTAGGGGTTAAAATGTTCAAACTAATATAGCTAAACTAAAACTGGTTCACACAGGAACTAGTTGGCGAGCAGATGTGAAACACGGCTTTGTTTACATTTGCTGGTTGTACACATATAGTCTCCCTTCATGTGTAGGTCAGACCTTTCTGATGTTTTTATGTCCTAGATCAGTGGTTCTCAAACTGTGGTCTGTGCTCTCTTGTGGTACGTGGGGAAAATTCACATTTTCACATTTACATTTTCAATCGAATAAATCGGAGACATACCATGCACAATTAATACAACATTTAGAAAAAAATGTGTAGCTAATTATGAAATAGGAAGCTAACCGGGGAGGCCTATGCTGCTATATTCTAATGTTGGACATCATGGCGGTACTCAGAGAGCTCAATGTTTTCTCAGAGTATAAAAACTGTCCTAGATGATGATGTTACCACTGTGAGTGACGTAGGTACTGATAAGCAGTATGTGAGGTCCGACTAAATGGTAAAAATCTTGTTACGTCGCGCTGTAGAAAAGGAATTCCTATGTAACTCAAGGACCCACTGAGTTGCTTAAGCTACTGTGAAACTTCTAAAATCACCTGATATGGCCTTGTTGTTGGGTAACAGTTTGGTTTTATTTTGAAACCACAGAAGAAAAGCATGGATTAACTGACAATTGTCTTTTAAACCCTACAGTACGTTTACCCGCCTGATAGACGGTCCATGCCTACAGGGATGCCAGTCCAGACGATCACTGCCCAGTCTCTCCTTGGCAAAACAGTAAGTTCTGTGTCTGTGTCTGTCACTGTTTCTCTGAGGAAATGTACAGTGTTTGAGCCACACTGACAGACCTACACTTACATAACCATAATTCTACACATTTACCTGCTTAGAGTGATTATACACAGCTCTATTATTCACTAGGACTTTTTTTTACTAGCTACATCAATTTTTAGCACAGATATTACTGTAGGTAATGCTCTGGAATATTGAATACCCACCAGCATTTTACTGAGTATTTAATTCCTCCAGTTTTACACTGTGACATAAAAAAATATGACTATACTCTTCTGCCCATTCTGTCTCCATTCCTACTGTCTAGAGACATTGTGACCGGACGTAAAGACACAGATTTGTGCAGCTTGGGAGTTTGAATCCATGTGCTAGCGTTTAAAATCTGTTCCCGCTTCTGCACTCTCACTGTCACTCAAACCTCTAAGTCAGATCAAGAGCATATTTCAGAACTGTACCTACTGCTGTCATGACCTGGAAATCCACTTCTAACAGGATCCTGTTATAAATGCTTAAGTCCTGAGAGGTTGGGTAGATTTTGCATGGCTGACAGAAATCACACCAGGGAAGTCTGAGCCTCAACTCTTTCCAGTTGTAGGTCTTACACCTCTAAATCTCCTGTCCTGGTGTGTTCTCCTTTTCCTCTTCCCTTTTGTTTTGTGTCCTTGTTTTGTTTTGGCGTCGCCTGCCCTGTTTGAAGCCCGAGGAACTGACTCTGCTGCTGATAAAGCTGCGGCGGCAGCAGGCAGAGCTAAACAGTATCCGGGAGCACACTGTAGCACAGCTTATGCAACTAAACATGGATGGCGACAACCCAAAGGTCAGGCCCCCCAGAGATTCCTCAGCAGGCATGCGTGTTACTGTGAGATGTGAATGTCATCTTCACCCATTAACATCATCCATCTTCAGTCAAAGGATAGCTTTCTTCTTATACAAAGGCAGACTTTAAAAGAAAGTGTGTTTTTAATTTTAAAAAGTACCATTGTGTACGTAGAACTGTTGATTCTTCATTTCAGTGAATTTGGTCACTGTCATTGTCGACATTAAAAAGTGAAAAGGTCTGACAACTTCCACATTTATGGTTTCCACATTTAAAGCTTAATTTTTTAAATGATAAATTTGACCTTTAAGAAAGTTCAGATCAGTTGAACCTAATTAATTTGCCTTTTAAAAACAGCTTCACTTTTTTTTGATTCCACATTCAAATAAAGGTTTTGTCAATACTCAGGTTGCATGGAGTCCTCTAACCATCTAATGGTTTCCTTGGTGTTTTGACTTGTCAAAGAATGGAGATGGACATTTGGTCAACAACAAATGCCACGTCTCATTCTTTAACCAAACCGTCTCAAAGCTGACCTCATTTTCCGCTCTGACTGATTCCACCTTTGTGGTTACGTTTGAATGACAGCGTGTATGATGTGTGTGAGAGTGAGTGTGTTTAAGGGCTTACTGACTCTGGTGTTGCCTTCTCTTTTCTCTTCTTTGCTGCTGATGCTAGAATGATGTTCTTTCTCATCACCTCCAAAGGAACCTCATGTTTTTGGACAATCAGGTGGGGTAATGCATGGCCCTGTCTCCTTTTGTCATGAACATTGTTTATTCAATGCACTCTGTGTACAGGTAATTCATGCATCGTTGAAATGGATTCTTGTAGAAACAATTAAGTTGGCGTCATTTCTACCTTCTACCTAAGTGTTGATTAATTCCCAGAAAAACCCTGTGAATTTCTAGTCACTGGCCAAAGCGCTTTGTCTTTGTCGTCTGAGTGACAGACACAGAATAATGATTTCTCTCAGTGCCCACAATGAAATACAAATTTTAATTATCCTGTGGTTTCATTGTTCCAACTTGTAATTAGATTTTAAAGGAATTCAGAAAAGTTCTACCATTACACAGAGAAACGGCGTCTGTTACTGCACTGTAATATCTCGCTGATTCAGTCTGACGGGTCATGAATTGCTTTTAATTGTTCTATCCGCCCCATTTGCTGCAGATGCACGTGCTAATGTTTGAGTTTTTGTCGTAGAGGAGCACAAGTAGGTGTTGTCTCTGTAGCTCTGCAGCGTTTGTGTGAACTGACACCTGCTGTATTGCTCCTCTCCACACTGGACTAGATGAAGGAAAATGACCCTTTAATCGTCATGACTCACTCTTTGATTGAGAACTCTGCCCCAAGGCCACAACTGTACCAGCAAGTAAGGCCAGCCGAAGGCTCTGCTCCACCTCATCCTCACCCAGTCGCTGTTGTTACTTTGGTCTGTTTTTGCAATGCTCCCCTTCGATGTCCAAGTCCTGTTGACATCCTGAGATTGGTCTACCTGTATCGTTTGTGCCGCCAGCACCTCCTCATCCATCGCTTATGACTGTTCCTTTCATTACAATGAGAAGTCATGCCAGTCGTGGGCATGACTTGTATACGAGTACGTCAATGTGTATGCTTCACTGTTGTGTTAAACCCCTTCCTCACTATTGGCGTATGGATGGATTCTGGAAGAACTTTACTCTTTACATTTTATATGTTTTTATATATCCAAATATAAAGTTTGGATCAAACTATTTTCAAAGGGAGAATGTACTCATTAGATATGTATGTCTAGAGATGCACCGATCCACCAGCCAGTGACTCATGGTTGAGTTAAAAAAACCCAAAAGGAAATAGCACTTTATTCGCAGTTAAAAGCCCTTTTCGTTCTTACTTGTCACCATCTGTACCTATGACTTAAAGTTCACACTTTGACTTGTTGTAGTTTTGTAATTATTGGCCATTACTTAAAGATGAAAACAAAGAGATCATGTATTCTTCTTCCTGTCTTTTAAAGTCACTACATAAATATTATCTGCATCTATTGTCTTGTTGTTTGACCTATCATACAAGCTTTTACTTGTCCACACTGTGATTGAGTGTAGTTTGATGGAAATGTTTTTATGACTTGGTGTGACGATAACATTTTGTTCTTAAGAAAACTGAAAAAATAGGATGAATAATTGCAATCGGTGCATCTCTAAATATATTTATATTTATATTTCAGTGCCTTAATCAGTAAAGGTCAATGTTTGATTCCTCACCACCTTTTGCAGAAGGTTTTATTCCTATTAGGCTGCTGGATTCAACAGGAACATTCTTATTATCCTGCACTGTCAGACTTGTAACCTGTCAGTTCGTTTTAGTACATGCCCAGTTCAAACTTGTCAAGAATACTTGTGCAATGTAGTGTTAGTAGAGTCCATACAACTACTATTCACTGTAACTGAATACCTGAAACGATGTATATTATGATGTATTAACTTGTATAGAAAACCACGCCTTATCAACAGTGAAGAAAAGAAACTCAAAACAGTCTGAGGGAGGTCCAGACTCAGAGTGTGCAGCCGTCTGCTTCTGCCGAGATTGAAAGGAAAAAATGTGGGAGACAGCTCAGAGAAAAGGGATGAAAGAAGGGAGGAGGGGTTTTAGAGAGACTCATGTTGAGCAGCTTACTTTAAGTCTTTCACACATTGGGAAATGGCAAAAAGAATTCCAACTGCAAAACAATCCCCTCAGTCCCCACCTTTTTCAACATGCATTAAAGTACGACTGTTGTTAGTTTGGAAATATTTTTTTTAACTAACATATGACTTCTTTGTGCCAACAACAAGTTTTTATTAGAACACTAGATTAATGTTGTTAGACTAACCATCACCAAGCCACCTGCCGTGAGAAAGATGTATACTTCAAATTGTTATCAAGGGAGTTAGTGAAGACAAGTCTCATCATTCTGCTGATGACAGAACTCAGAGGTGGATTTGATGTGATAATTTGACAGCTTTGTGGCCAACTGATGGGCTGTAAAAGTGACACTGAAAACCCTCCCTC